GTCAAGAAGAGGGCCATGTACCAATTGCAATGTGATATTTTCTCCCTCCGTGGACATTTGCCCACAGTCCCATTGTGATGGACAGAAAATGGAAGAAATGCAGATCCTGTTCTGCAAAGTTTATAGGCTAAATACTGAGAATACAGACCACCCATAGTGTTTCTTATATGTACAAGTTGATATAGATCATGTATGAGGCCTGGGTGCAAGAACATCTTCACTGATGTAGTTGGAAGATCACATATGCCACTAACCAGCTCTTAGCTAGCTATGAAGTTTGGTCACTAATTGTATGGGCTGGATTTGAACCAGTAGTCTAGGGGTAAAGTCTCCATGGTCCATCACCAGAGCCCTTTTCTACCCATTCTATTCACTTATTGGGCCTCATTTTCCTCTCACAATGGTGAGAATCAGAAGTAACTTCACAGGAAGGTAGGAAAGATGACCTAGAGGAGGGGTACTAGACTGGGCCTCAGGAAACCTTGAGGTCAATTCCTGGCTCAAACACAGAGTTCCTATATGACACTGAGGATCTGGGCCTTAAAATGGCATGACCAAAAGTATTTAGGCACCTAATTCCTGTTGATTCCCCTGGGAGTTAGGTTGCCTAAATACCGTTGAGGATCTGGGTCATAGTCTACCCCAGGCCTCAGTTCCTGTCAAATGAGGATAATACTTTTCTACTTTAAATCCATTAATGCCTGTGAGACACTCAGATACTGCAGTGATAAGGACTTTATAGCTAGACAGAAGTCAATGGAGTTACACCAGTGTGAACTGGTATAAGTGAGAGAAGAAGGCCTGTTAAATCTGTTCATTTTTGTTAATCATTTTGATTCATGTAGTTAGTACTCAAGGCAAAAAAATCCCATTGGGTTAGATTCATCTCCAGGCCAACTGCATGGTTGTGACACCACTCCTGAAGTTACACTAGGGATGAGTTTGGCTCAGAATGTTTTAAAACGATTGTACAAAGAAACTGAGTCGGAAACACCACACATACCCTGCCAGCCAGAGTACCAGCCAAGATTCTCTGTCCATGGTCCCATCTGACTCCAGATGCCAGTGGTATGCGGTACAGTAACATAATGCAATTCAGCAGTCCTCTCTCTTTCCCCATTCTGAAGACCACTTCAGCAAAGAAAGAAACCCTCGCACGGACCCACTCCCTTCCCAGTATGCTTCGACCACTCTACCCGCCCTCCTTCCCCTGTTTGGCTCTCAGCATTTTTCATGCTGCTGACCAACAAAACAGGACTCACGATCCCTGGTGGTTGATGATCATCTTTAGAAAACCAGTGCTGAAGTGCCTGCTAATTCTGCTAACGTTCATTCCAAGAAGGATTCCTACCACTCCTCTTTGCATTTAATTTTCTCTAGCTCTCTTAACCTCTAACCATAATGTTCTAAAAGGAATATGTATGATGCAAACAGAATTCAATGCATGTACATATAGGCTGAAATTGTCAAAGGCACCTAGTTAATTGAACTGGGTGTTCAATTATCTTTGAAAAACTTCAGCCACACGCTGTATATGATCAATGTTTACATACATATAATACCTCAGAGCGGCTTTGTAGCACTGTCAGCAGAAGTCAAGGATTTTAAATATTATAAAGGGTTCTGTTATCATGAGGTTAGCTTTAATGGAGTTGCAATGTGTGTGTGGCAGATGGTATAGCAACCTTCAGAAAGATGCTGGAATTACAATAAAGGTCTCTAAGGACAGTGAATAAAATGGACCTTCCATGAAAGAGTCGGTTTCTTTAGATACATTTACATCAACTTCCCTACCAATGAGTAGTGGAATGAAAGAGTCAGAAGTTGGCCAGTGGTTTTCACACATGTCTAAATGGGTGCGGGTTACAGATCTATGAAATCATCCTGGGTCACCTAATTTGCAATTTGGGCACTGGAAAAATGTAGAGCCTGATTTTGCATTCACTTACATCAATTTTACACCCGGTGTAACTCCATTGATTGTAGGTGACTCAGGCCATAGAGGAAACACAGTTTATACTACACTGGCCGATTTGACCAGCCCAGACTGATCTTCGAATCTGGAAAAAAAGTGGAATTTGCAGAGCGATTTGAATGACTGAAATCTCATTCGACGCATACATGCCGAAACACTTTCCACTAGTCATGTTCATGGCTCAGTGGACCAGATTCTTATCTTAGTTACATCACTGGATAGCTGAAGTCAGTGACATTACCCTGGTTTTAAATCAAAGGTAAACGAAAATACATCTATTGCTTTTCTCTGAAGCCTTCGGCACTGGCTGCTGCAAGAGGTAGGATAGCAGACAATCAATCAACAGTTTGAGGCGATATGGCAGATATTATATCCTGGTTTTCCTGCGTGAGTGTCTGAGTTATGTAGCATCAAGGGGAAAGTTTACAAGAGCAGTTAAAACACCTGGCTACAACAGTTTTATGACATTGAACTGTTTCATACTGACCAGAGCAGGACAGCTATTTAAAACTTTTCAAGGACAAACCAATTAATCATCACAGTGAAATTAAAAGGAAAACAGCGCTAAGCAATCCCAGATCCCATGGCAAAATTATCGCTGTTTCGGCTTTGGTTCTGAAACACACTGCAACTCTTTGGCTCTCTGGAGTTCTCCTTAGCATTCATGCACTGATATCACCCATTCTACAGCAGTAGGCTCGGCATTCAAACATTAGCAAAGGCGTTTGCAAAAGCTGATCTCTGGCACTATTCTGTCTCCCCCACCAACAGAAGCTGAGGTCTAGTAAAGTCTGGTAAATAGAATGATAGTAAGATAGGAAAAAATTAATCATCATTGCACTACAATGAGAAAATAAAGTGATGTAGCAAAACAAGGAAACAGACCATTAAAAGGAAGCCAAGGTTGACCCAGAAGAAGAGCTAGTTTATGGTTTGTTCTTATTAATCACAGAGCACCAGGAGGTTAGTGCTTATACAAAGCACAGATAAAGACACTGTCTCAACCCACAGGGTTTACAGTCTAAGGGCCCAATCCTGCAAATGCTTGCACAAGTAACTGGGGCAGCCTCCATAGGCGCTGGAAGTAGGGGTGCCCCCCCCCCCGCTTGAAGTGGTTTCCAGCATATACAGGGTTTACAGTTTGGTTCAATGGCTCTCAGCACCCCTACTATACAAATTGTTCCAGCACTCCCAGCCATCTCCTTGACTGCTCACAGGAGTGAAGTTGCTATTGTGCATACGTGTTTCCAGGATCGGGCCCCAAATGATTTCCTCACACCTCTAGGATTGACATCAATGAGAATTTTGCCATAGATTTCAGTGGGAGCAGGATCCGGCTCGGATCCCTGTGCTTACACGAGTTCTCCATTTCCCCATATCATTTGCTCCCCAGCTCAAGTGCTGGACACCAGCTGTTTATGTTCTTCTCCAAAAGGAAAGCACTGACTTTAATTTATGCTGAAAATCCAGCCCACCTGGGCTTTGGAACTGTAGGCGCTGGATATTCCAAGCTGACAAAACCAGAAATTGCTTAATGCTTCATTGTCTCATTTCACAGGCCTGGAGGAGTGGGGACCCGGGAGGGCCATGCCAGAGGAGAGAGGCAAAGCCAGGGTTGGGTGGCTCTACCCATGCTGTGAAATTCCATTGGACTGGGCATAAGCTTTCATGGGCTATGTGGGTTATAGCCCATGGAAGCTTATGCCCAAATAAATGTGTTAGTCCAGGGGTCGGCAACCTTTCAGAAGTGGTGTGCCGAGTCTTCATTTATTCACTCTAATTTATGGTGTCGCGTGCCAGTCAGACATTTTAACGTTTTTAGAAGGTCTCTTTCTATAAAGTCTATAATCTATAACTAAACTATTGTTGTATGTAAAGTAAATAAGGTTTTTAAAACGTTTAAGAAGCTCCATTTAAAATTAAATTAAAATGCAGAGCCCTCCGGACCAATGGCCAGGATGCCTTCCAACCCTGATATTCTATGATTCTATGATCCGGGCAGTGTGAGTGCCACTGAAAATCAGCTTGTGTGCCACTTTCGGCACGCGTGCCATAGGTTGCCTATCCCTGTGTTAGTCTCTAAGGTGCCACAAGGACTCCTCATTGTTTTTGCGGATACAGATTAACACGGCTACCCCTCTGAAACTGGTCTCCATTGAATTGGTTTGACTTTGTCCATGAGAGATCAGAAAAGGGACCTGGCTTCTAGGGGAAAACTCGGTCATGGAACTGAAGGGACAGAGAGCAAATGAAACCAAGCAAACCAGGGCTAACCCCAGTCACCCCTGGGGCACCCTCTCCAACACACCAGGGTGCCGCTGAAGGAATGTTGTGGGTTTATTGGCTATGAAATGGAATGATTGCAAGCCAGGGTTTGAATGAAGGGGGCAAATGCAGCCCCTCAATCCTCCATCCTGCCTCAGTAAAATACAGCAATTGGCTTCATTGAATACGGTGTGAGGAGAGGAGCTTCAAGGAGCAGCGCTCAGCTCTCCTGGGGAAATATTCCAATAAAACCCAGTTTCCTACTGACAGTGAAATAATACAAATAATCGAACACTGGGAGAAAGAACTTCCCGGGTGGCTTCTGCATTGTCCTGCGGGGGCGGAGGGAGCCGGGGAAGCCGAGTGACTCGATCCTGAGAAAGGGATGGTGGAAATCACAGACAGACAAGCCCCACTGGGTTATCAGGGACACCCAGTTCCAGGCATTGGGGTACCCACCCGGTACATACCCGGACGCTTAAGTCAAATGACTTGAACGCTGCAGCTTGCCCCTAATGCCTTTAGGAGTCTAGTCAACAACAACCGAAGCGACCTGCCCCCAAATTCAGCGTCCACCGAGCGCTGACAAACCACTTCGGAACTCGGCGAAAGTTTCTCCTGGCAAAATCCGGCCGGAGCGCGACTGAACGGTCCGGCTCTGAGCCGGGAGACAAGCGCTCAGCGGCGCCCGGACCTGCCGGGAAGGCATTGGGCGAGGGGAGCGGAGCACCACGAAGGCGCTCCGGAGCCGTGCACTTACCCAGGCGAGGAGGCAGCTGAGCACCGAGAGCCAAAGGCAGGCTGCTGGCGGCTCCATGCCGGCTGGGGTGGAGGAGAAAGGGGGCCCCCCGGTTCCGGTGCCCCCCACGCCAGCGGCTTGCTGCCCCGCTCCCTTCCTGCGGCGGGGAGTTCAGGCGAGGCAGAGGGGATCCTCCGGGCGAGGGATCCCGGCCCGGGCTGAAGTTGGGTGTTTCCTTTCCGGGATCCCGGCGGAACGCACCTGCCGCGGCTCAGCGCTGCCGAGCCCGAGCCATCTCCGCTCCTCCGCGCTGCCCCGGTGCCACTGGGAGCCTCCGCCCGCGCTCCTCGCAGCGAATCCCGGGCCGGAGGAGGGAGGAGGGTCACGCCGCAGCCGGGCGGCCACCCGCTGCTGGAGCCACCCCTGCCCGGGCTCCGCCCTCCGGCTGGGGCGGACGGGCGCTGGGGGGCTCGCCGCGCCGGCCAATGGGAGCAGGCAGGTGGCCAGGAATCCGGGCTGCGGGAGGGCTGCGGGAGTAGGCGGGGGGGGCGCCGCGGGGCTGGAGCGATGGATCCAGGGCAGGCAAGTGCCGCGGAACCGGGGGCGGGATGTTCCGACAGTTCAGTCCGGGCTCGGTGCGGAGCTGGGCGGCCCCGCCCGGTGCACGTGTGAGCAGGGACAGGGACGCCGCCTGTTTGCGCCTTCCCCGCTGCAGCGTGCCAAGAAACAAGCCTGCTCCGGCCTCCACCTGACGCTAAGCCCAGCCCGGGGAGCTCGCGCATTAAGCCTCACCTCTCCCCCGCGGGTAAGGCAGGAGCGGGCGAACTTCTTGGCCTGAGGGCCGCATGGGGTTTCGGAAATGGTATGGAGGGCCGGTTACGGGAGGCTGTGCCTCCCCAGACAGCCAGGCGTGGCCGGCCCCCGACTCCTATCTAACCCCCCCCTGCTTCTCGCCCCCTGACAGCCCCCCCAGGACTCCTGTCCCATCCAATCCCCCTGCTCTCATCCCCCCCCACTGCTCTCTGTCCCCTGACT